CACAAACTTTGTTTTAGCCGGCTGATTCTCGGTAACTCCATTTTGACGCTTTGTGTTTCGCGCTTCGCATGTGCGACTCCACTGCCTTAATTCCCATCGTTCTGAGCTTGAATGGCTTCTTGCATAAAATCCACTGAGCCTCATGTATGTTCCCTGGTTTTAGCCATGGAGAAAACTCTTGGCTGGAGACAATTTTGGTTACATTTACACTTGCTCATATTTTCTAGACAAAAAGTTAATGGCGCATCTCCCAAATGTCCCGGCCACAACAACGCTTTATTGGTTCCGCTATCGGGACGGAACCAATAATGGAGAGCCGTTATTTTTTTTTAAATAAAATTTTTTTTTGTCAATTTCAATGTTTTATTTAGATTACAAACATAAACCGTAATAAAAATCATCCTATATATGTTGTTTTAAAAATTAAGACCTACGAATAACTGATTTAAGACATTTTGATATTTAATATATTTAATATTTATTTATCAAAGATGGTAATCAGCTCTTTACTGAGGCTAATATCTCTAATGTAGAAACTGTTAAGTAGAGTGAACATCAATTATCTTTACTTTGAGGGTTTATTCTGTATAGATCCCTCAAAGGGTTGAACAATCCAGACAAAAATCAGAAACGAGACTTAAAAACAAAAATTATTCTAATTTAATTTTGATTTTCCTTTTAACTAATCCTCAGCATTTAGCTGCTTCGCTGCAGGATTTCATTGTTTTTATGACTTCTTCTAGCTTTTTGCCTTTTAACGGCTTTCATTGGAGGTCAGCAGCTCTGAAGCACCTAAAAATAACAAGAACTTCTCTAAAAAAAAGCAAAAAAACTGATTTAATTTACCGTAATTGTTTTTGGGAAACCTTTACCTATTAGGAGTCAGTTCATAGGTATACAGCTATAGAGTGGACATGTGAGCCAAATGTTTTAATTTATTGGTCCAAGAAGAGTCACAGATATTAGAACAATAAACAAAAAAAAATGTTGATACCAGAGATAAATATTCGCTGACCGATATTTTGAGCTGATATTTATTTTATTCTCGTATCAACATCAGCCCATTCCTGCAACCATTTGCCAGTTTATTAGTACCTCCAGCAGCTGCGCCTCATTTACTCTCCATTGTTATATTTTGCTGTGATTTATTAATAAATCTTGATTTTGATTAATATTGAGACTTTTGTAACAGTTGCTATCATTGTATCATTTCCATCATGTGAATAGAGGAAGAAAAGGCAGTATTGGTTTTAAAAATAATAAAAAAAAAATTGCAGCACATATGTGAGGGGTCCGAGGATTAGGGCCGCTGGAAAAAAAAAAAGTTAACTGATTTTTAAATTTTATTTCAGTTTAGTATGGGAAAAAAAGTCAGAATTCTGACTTTAATCTCAGAATTTTAGGATTTTAATGTAGATGGGTACCATGAAGGAAGAGATGTGGGAGAACTCAGCTTCACTGACAAAGATGCTAACAGGTTTGTTAGCCGTCAGAATTCAGAGAAAAAAGTCTGAATTCTGAGAAAAAAAGTCAGAATTCTGAGAAAAAAAAGTCAGAATTCTGAGAAAAAAAAGTCAGAATTCTGAGAAAAAGTCAGAATT